AAGATGAATATCTGTGTCCTTTTAATGGGAAAAGTACAACAAAAATAAGCAAAACCGCAGTTGGAAGCGGAGGGGTTGGAAGGAGCCCCTCTGCTTGCAATGTGCTGTGACTGCACGGCTCCAAGCCGCAGCCCGACGAGCAGCACAACCAGGCAGCCAAATGCAGCCCTGAGCGAATAACCCTGTGGGGAAGGGGAGCTGTCAGGTAGGTTAGGGCCCAGGTCTGAGCTGCGTTAGGTGCTGGCAGGAACGCCCTCTGAATAAATCATCTGGATGAGACGTATTTTTAAGCAGAGGTTGTCCTTGCTGCTTGGCTTCGCAACCTTTATTTGTGGTGCTGATGGGAGCCGAAGCCTGCGAGCTTTAATGTTTTCCTGGCTGGCAGAGGAGAGCTGGCAGGGGCTTGGGATGCTGAGAGGGATGCTGATGGGGACAGAAGGTCCCGCCATGCTGAGAGCATCACCCATGGGCTGGGGACTGCAGCCCGTGACAGCTGGGTCCCCACTGGCCAGGCAGTATTGGCATGGCTGATCCAGCTGTCCTGCCCTGGCTCCACTGCCCTCCGCAGTGTCAGACAGGAGGATTTATATGTATTTTGAGTTCATTTTTATAGCCAGCACCTGTGAGGCCAGCGCCAGGCAGGGATAAAAGAGGGGGCCACGCCATAGGGAGCCAGGACAACAGCGTGAGCATGGAGAGCTGGGCTGGGGGAATGGGGAAACTGAGGCACAGCAACCTCAATGTGCCTTGGGGTGATGCTTGGAGCTGGGGGCTGCGGCTGCGTTTGGAGCCGGGGCAGGATCCGCAGCTCTGGCAGCCCCGCGGGGGCCGGGGGGGACCCGCTGAATCGGGTGCATTCAGCGCAGCACAGCTGGTGCGGGCTGCGGAGCAGGGGGGCTGCAGTTGCTCCTGACACTTTTGCCTCTGAATGTGATGATAAACTCCCTTTCCCGATTAGCGCTGATCCCTCTGCCTCCAAAACAGTTGGCCCTAATGAACATACGGCCCAACAGCTGTAAGCGGTTATACATATGCATGGATATATATATTTATCCCCCCCCCAGCCCATCCATATATACTGGAGATCACAGCTGTTGCTATTCTTCCTTGCAATGCAGATCAGACGCTCTCTCTCTTTGGAGTCTTACTTGACCTATTTTGCAGGCGCAAGATTTTTTGTGATGATGATTTCCCCAGTTGGTGCTTTTGATTCTGCCTGAAACATCTTGATTGAAGGCAAACAATGGCAGCTCCGGCAGCCGGCAGCGCCCCGCACCCCCGGCAGCCGCCACGCGCCAGTGGGGGGGACCGGGGACCTGCCGGCTGCTCTGTCCCGACCTGCCTCCTCCGGTCCCCCTTCCCTGTGCCCACGGGACATGGCGCTGCTGCCTGGCCCATCAGCTTGGACACGCAACCGGGACCTCAAGGCTTGTGCTGGTGTCCCCATCCTCTGCCACCTCCAGCTGGGCTGTGCCCTGCTCAGCCCTGAGCCCCCTGTTCCATCACCCTAGGGGTGCCTCAGCTTTAAGGCCAGGGGAGGAGATGGTTCCAGAGCTGGCAGGAACGGCAAAACCCCAGTGGCTGCTCCATCCCAGAGTGCAGCGATGCTCTGCAGTGATGGAGATCTTCCAAGCCCTTCCTGCAGGGACCCTGTCTCTGCTTGTGGCTCAAGGCAAGGTTTTGGGTCTGACAGGGAGTTCTACAGCCCCCACAGCCATGCGGGGTGCCCCAAAGAAGGCCCCCAAAGTTGCTGCATGCCAGCAAGGAGAAGCATCCATCTGAGTGCACAGACATTTCTTGTTCGGTGTTTCTGTTTGAAGCGTATCCTTCATCCGGGTTTATTCAGCAATTGGGATGTTCTTGTCCTGTCCCAGCTGGAGGATGCAGAGTAGGAGGCAGGAGGGGAGGATGGAGGCAGGAGAGGGAGAAGCCAAAAGTAAGTTTTTAAAGCACTAAGGCTGCAATTTCCGCCTCCATCCTGGGCCTGGAGCTGCTGCAGCTGCAGCAAGGCTCCAACCCTGTCCCCTTCCCTCCATCCTAGAGGCAGTGCAGCCAGCAGAGGCCAAACCAGGGGGCTGCAAAACACCAGCCCTAAGGGTCCGTTAGGGTCCCTGCATGTAAGCAGCACCCTGAGGTGTCCCACCCTTGCACACCTGTGTCCCCCTGAGCTCCTCCATGGGCACTGGCCTAAAAGGAGGGAATTACTTCAGAAACACACTTTTCTTTACAAACCCCAACCCAAACCCCACCAAGCCACCAGTGATTCATCCCAGGCAGCGAGTCTCTTCATTTACTCATTATGAGATAATACCCAAATCTGGCTAATTAATATTCCTGCATATTTTCCAGGGGCTGATGAGGTATCTTAAACATCTCGCCGAGAGAGCTTTCATATTTATAAGGTTGATGTGCAAACTCAAATTGATGCCATCTAAATATACCCCTCACGTATAAGCATGGGGCTTCGCTCCCAGGGTGCCGGGGGGGTTCCCTGGGTGCACACCCCGGCTTGAAGCAGCACCCGGGGGCTCGGCGGGTGGGAGAGCTGCCCATGAAGGTTCCCATGAGCTGGTGTGTGATGGAGCGTTGTCCATGTTTCCATGAGGATGTGAGGTCTGTTTCCTTGGGGAAGGGGAGCGGAGCGCAGCAGGCACTGACCCGGTGCTGGCCATGCGGTCAGCAGTGCTTTGGGGCACACGGCTGGATGTGCTGACAGCCCCAGGACAGGGCCTGCAGCTTCCTGCTGAAACCCTTTTCCAAGGTTAAAAATAGGACTTGGTTGCAAACTGAAAGCCTGGTTTGCATTCACCCTCATTATGTTGATTGCTTATTTACATGTATGCAAATGGGGGAAGAGGCAACGGCTCCTCCACCTGGGGACCCCTCGGCACGGCAGAGCCTGAACCCCACCAGTTAAATCCCTGCTGAGGGATGGCCCCTGGATCAGCCTGCAAATGAAGCATCAGCCGCTCTCATGCACCCAGCCGGGGATAAGACGCAGCCCCGCGCCCGGTCGTGGCCGGAGGGGTGGTGGTTGCTGCTGCCTCGGCCTCTCCCCTCACCCTGCTCTGCCAGATGTGCGTGTCCAGCTCCAGCTGTTCCCCATCAGCCTCCCTCGAGCAGCCCCGGGATCCTTTTTCCACCAGGCCCCACGTCCTTCATCAGACACCAATTTGGTCTGGCCCAGCTGCTCATTTTTCTTCCCGCCGCGTGACATGTTTTCACCTGGCTCCTAATCCGTCTCTTTCCATTCACAACTCGAGCTGTTTATGGATGTGCCTCGGCTCCCCCTGCTTTTCCCACCCCCTGGACAGAGCCATCCATCAATAAAACCCTGCTGAGCACCAGAGCATGGAGCATTGGAGCATGGAGCGTCCGTGCTTCCCCTCCCGGTGGCCTGGGACGCTGTTAACCCAATGGGGCTGAGGGCACACCACCCAGTGGCGTGACCCCGGGGGGAGCATCACCTCCATCCCTACCACATGGGGTTTGATGATGTGGTGCTGTGGTTCCAGGGTCCTCTTCCTGGCTGGGGAGGGCACTGGGGGCCATGGCACCAGGGCTCTGTCCCCACTGTTTTGGGGCTTCTCCCTCTTGCACAGGCGCAGGGAGCCCACAGCGAGGACATGTCCCAAGCCCTTGGGGGTCACCCTGTGTCCCAACCCCATCCCCGTCCCCCCCGTCTATAGGGACAGGTGCCTCAATGCGGCAGCTGTCCCGTCCTGCAGGAGGAGGCAGCTGTGCCAAGGGGGAAGAGGGTGGTGATGGTGATGACAGCTGGGAGGCACCAAGCGCAGGGGATGTGCGGTGCGGGATGGCCATGGCTGTGCATCGGGGACTGCTCCTGCACCCCCCTCCACAGAGAGGGAAGTCACTCATCTCACCCCTGTCTGTGTCCCTGTCACTCCTGGGGCTCTTCCCCTTCTCCCGGCAGCCGGGCACATGGACATGGGGAAAGCATCGTGCGGTCCCTGTGGTGGAGGCTGTGAGCATCCCACCAGAGTGCTTTGCTTGTGACCAAGAAGAAAACCCCCAAATATCCCAGTGGATTGGGTGTTTCCTGAAGTGTCTGCACAGGATGGGGCTGGGAAGGGCCCAGCAGCACAGCGCAGCACCCTGTGCACAGAGTGGTACAGGGGTGGGGTGCACTACCTGGAAAGGGGGCCCTTTGGCAAGGGATTTGCTGCTGCCTCCCTTGGGCTTGGATGGGCAGAGCCAAGCACAAAGGTCCCCTCCCTCCACCCACTGCCCGCTGGTTTCAGACCCTCTTCCCTTCTCATTTCCCACCAAAGCAAGGGGGGAAACCAAAGCAGAGCAAAACCAGGAAGAAACAGAGGAAGCCAAGCCCGAAGAGCGCGATGGAAAAAACCTGAATGCCTCTAAGACACTGCTCTGCTTTACAAAGTCAGCCCCAATTTCCCCAGATGAAGAGCTCGCCCCTGTACAGGCACAGCCAGCCCAGCCCATGGCTCCACTGTAAGCTCTGTCTGAAGGTTTTCTCCTGCCCCTTCCCATCCTTGGCTGAGCACAGAGGGTCCCTGAACCAACCCGAGGTGCTGCCAGCACACAGAGAGCCCAGGGGCAGCGGGGATGGAGCCTGGGTGCTGAAGCTGCAGCATGGCCGCCACGGTGGGTGCCAGAGAAGGGTGGAAAGCCGCTGCCCCATCCCCAACCCTGTCCCCATCCCACAATGGGGATTGTTCTGGAGGCTGCAGGCAGGATGCAGCCTGGCCAGCTCCATGCCTGACTCACATCCTCACCGGCTGGGAGGGAGCCGCAGGGAGACATGACTCCAGCATCCTCCCCACAGTGCTGGGATGCAGGTTGGGTGCTGGTGGGCACCCGCTGTCACCCCATCCCCGCACTGATCCCTCCCAAACAGCCCTGTGGAAAATCCCCGTCATCGGCATCATCGTTGGAGCAGTTCCTTCCGAAAGCAGATGGGAGCTTCCCGCCGGAGCTGGCGTTCCCGGGGGGAAGAGCTGCAGCAGAGCGAGGCGTTTGCACTAAGTGATCACATTTATTTGAGTACTTTGTGTGTGTGTGTGTGTTCTAAAATCGGTTACAGAATAAATACCTGTGCCTTATAGCAGGAAGTCCACTTTCTTTTTATACAAAGTGCTTGTTACAGGAAGTTGCATCAGCGATAGGCAGGAGGGGGGGGCGCAGGGCCACGCAGCCCCTCCTGGAGACGAGAACAGGTTCTTTGTTTATTGATTTATTCGTGATTTCTTTTGTTTTAAAGTTTCTTTTCCCTTTTTTTCTTTTTTTTGTGTTTTTTTTTTTTGTTATTTTTGTGCATTAATTTCCTGCCATCGTGTATTTACAAACCTCTGAAAGAAGGAAAACAACCAAAAAATGCCAATAGGTGTGAGAGGTGGCCTCGGAACACAAAAAATCAGCCTCTTAAAATAAAAAAAAAAAACAAGGTAACAAACCCAAAATCTACATTTCATACGGAATCCATGATGGGTGGCTTTCTTTTTCAAAAGGGAAAGAGAAGGGTGGGAAAAAGAGGAAAAACGGAACCAAACCGGAATAAAAATGAACTTGGAGAAATGGGAAGAGGGAAGGTGCCATTGTCCCTTCTGGAGTTTTCCAAAGGCAGAGAGGAGCAAGGAAGAGCACAGGCCCAGACGCCCGACTGAAATCCCCATCAATTTCTTCTCAGTAATTTCTCCCTCATCTTTTCCCAGCGAGGGGCGGGAAGGACTTTCCAAAATTAAATTAAAAAAAAAAAAAAAGAGGAATTAGAAGGAAAAAAAAATTATTTCATTTTAAAGGGATTAAAAAAAAAAAAGAGAGAGAGGGGGATGAGGGAACAACCCTCCCCAAAATCCTGGAGGGGCGGGAGGCGGGGAAAACATCGCGTTTGATTTAAAAGGGGGTGATGGTGGGGAAGAAAAGCCAAACCAAACCAGACTTCTCCCTCCGAGCGCGCCACGGAGCAGACTGTGTGTGATGGTTAACTGGTGACGTAGTGTTTCGCCGACGGCTGGCCGTACACCCTATAGAAATCCTGCCGCCCGTGCTGCTGGGATGCGTCAATCCATTCCCTCACGGCAAGTCCCGGGAGCGACTGTGGCACGGCAGGGGCAGGCGGCAGCGGGTGGGAATACTCCTGCGATGAGACTGTCCAGGGGAAGTGCCCCGACCGCGGGTAGGGCTGGTGCCCGCTGTGGTTGGACACGGAGGAACAGTAACAGTTATCCACGGAGCAGACGAGGATTTTGCGCCCGCCGTACTGGGAGAGCACGGACTGCTGAGATGATGTGGTGTTGGGGTAGTGAGATGGGTTGAAGACAGAGCCCGAGTGCACCGGCTGTGGGCCGCTGGGAAGTCCAACTATGTGCTGCGTGGAGCTACAAGGCACCATGGCTTGTGCGGACTGCCCCTCGCCAGCCGAAGCGCCCTGGCTCATGTACTGGCTCGCCACAGTCCCGGACGATGGCTCGAGGAAGCTGCCCTCGGGAAAGGCGGTGGAGTGCTTGCGCTTCTCCGCGCCGGAGTTGCTGACAGTGCAGGGGTACATGGGGATGCTCTGCAGGAAGGGGACGGGGGTGCTCAGAGGACCTGCACAGGAGAATGGGAGAGGGGGGTTGCATCAAGCACAGCTACAAGGTACTGGTCCCAGTCTGCAGCAAAGCCCCAGGACCCACGTTCCAGCCCCACACGAGCAGAGGGTTCCCCATCCCGCCTCACCAGCAGCACACTGGGCAAACAGCCATACACAGGTGAACTTGCAGGTTCTATTCCGGACCTGGCCGGCAGGCTCAAAGCAGCCTGAAGTGCTGCTCTGCAATCACTGCATAGGCTGAGCCCATGCACAGCTCGTGACCATGGTCTGTAACAGGATCAGGGTGGGACAGCCTGGGTGGCAAACCCAAATCCCCTTCCTGAGTACCCACAACCTCCGCAGGATGTGGTCTGCTCCCAGGCATGGGCTGGGGGCTGTGGTACCATCTGGCCCCTGGCTGTCCCTGCCCGGGCACCGACCCCCAGCTTTCCACTAACATTTCCTGCTGATGGCCAGCCCTCTGCTCTGTCACCCCAAAACACAGCTGCTTCACAGGCCAAGGGGAATGTCCTGGGGAGAGCCAGGAGCTCGCTTCATGGCATCTCCATGTCCATGCTGACCGCAGAGAGGTTCCCATGGGTCCTTGCATCCCAACAGCTCTCCCGACCCTCTTGTATTGGGATCCGCAGGACACCCAGCTATGGATACAGGAGGTAGTGAGGTCCCATGCTTCCCCCTGGCACCCCTCAGACTTCACCCACCTTCCAGCAACTTCCTGAGCTGCTTTTCCTTCTTGGCGATCTCGTTTAGGAAGAGCTTCGAGTTGAGGTGGCCGATTTTAGGTGGGGGCAGGCTGCCACCTGTACAGTTCTGGGTCCTGTTGGGGACCATGGGCAGAGAGGAGAGATGTGAGGGACAAGGTACTCTCAGGGGAGGGTCAGATGGATCCTTCCTCACACCCCTCTGGGGGAAAACCACTTCCCTAGGGCAGCAGTGTGGAGGGCAGCAGGGAGCTGTCTCTCTCTCGATGGGCAGGACTTTTCCTGTGCAGCTTTGCTGTGAATTTCCCATGCCAGGACTCACCTCCTGCAGCCCCTGTGTCCCCCACCATGGCCACCCCAGCTCCCATTGGCTCCACTAATGCTGCCTCTGCCCCAGCAGAGCCAACTGAGCCCTGTGACCCAACCCAGCTGCTCCCACTCTGGACAGAATGCTGGATGGGATGCTGGGTCCCAGCTTTGCTCTTCCACAAGCACAACACTGTGTTTCCCTTGTCCAAGGGGAAGAGTTGACTCAATGGCTGCAGGAGGGGATTTTTTCATCCTCCCAGAGAAAGAGGAATAGTGAAGCATGAAACATGCCTCTGCCAGGCCCTGTAGCATCCCTGGCCCTGGTTCTCCTCTGGGCACTGTGCTGCTGCCACCCTGCAAACAATAAACATGCCCCTTCCCCAGCACACTTACCTGTCCATTAAGATTTTCACAGACTTGGTGTTCTAGGAAGGGAAGGAGAAGATCTGGTCAGTTAGGCCTGTCCCTGCTGTAGCAGTCACCTCCCCTTTCGGTATCACCTTCTGTGGCCCCCCAGGAGGGGAGAGGCTGCCCAGGGGTGCTAAGCCCCCTCTCCCCAGCACAGGCTGTCCCAGCTCCATCTCCAGCTACGGCATCTCCTCATTCAAGGCTGGTGCTGAGTCTGTCCCACTCCTCCTTGCCTTCTCCCACTGCTCAGCCACCTGAAGGCATCAGCTAGCTCTGTCAGTGTCCCCAGTCACCTCCCCACCATGTCCCACTCCTCCCCATGGCCCCCATCCCATCCCCGCCTTGTCTTACCTTCATGAAGTTGATGTCCTCAGTTTTGTCGAACATCACCTGCACAGAGCTGAGGAGCTTCTTGGCCTCCTGCATGCGCTCATTGAGATGGAGGACCTGGGCTGCGTTCTCGTTGCAGAACTTGGCCTGGGCCTTGTCCAGGATCTCCATGGTCTTCCGCAAGTCCTCATCCAAGATCTGGTGCATCTTCTCGTACTGCAGGCGCACCTCGTCCTTCAGCTGGCTCACCTTCTCCTGGGGGAGAGGAGCAGGGTCAGGCCCACTGTGCCCTCCAACCGTGGTGTCCCAGGATACCGGGGTCCACTCCTCAGCAGGGCCGAGTGCGACCTGAGAGCTGCACCATAGCTCTGCCCCCCTGCAGTACCCACACAGACCTAACCTTGCCATCAGCAGCCACATGTGCCAAGACCTAACAGGGACACTGTAGACAACCCCTTGGACCTACCTCTAGGGTCTAGGTGGGGATCAACCCCAGAGAGCTAACATCAAGCATCAATGTGCCACACCACCTTGGAAAGTCCCATCCATCCCCATCTTCATCCTCATTCCCATTCCCATCCCCATTTCCACCCCAGGCTGGGGACACCATGCTCCAGAGCCCTTCCCCCATGCTCTGGGAGGCCCAGGAGCTTTAAGGACCACAAGCTAATCTTGTTTTACCCATATCCCAGCAAAACACCCACTTGCATCTCTTCCACCTCCTGGGTATTTCAGTGATTTATTCAGGGATTTCCCACTTCCAGATCCTCCCCTTCTGCCTGGGATGAAGCCAGGAAGTCTATGTTGAGCTGAAGGTTTGGTGGGACATCTGATATGTAAGGACAGCTTTGTTCCTTGCCTCTCAATTCACACCAGGACCCACAAGACTGTAGGGCAGCCCCAAACATGTTTTTCACCCAAAAGGATGACTTGCACGACAGCAGGTCTGTCCAGCCACTCACCCCTTGCATGTCCACCCTCCTTCCTGCCAACCAGGCCCCTCTGCCCCTGCAGCCTGTCCCTATTGCCTCATAGGGTGACAGTCCCTTGGGCTGGCTGCAGCAGGGCAAAGCACCAGTTACCTCGACCAGCCGCTTGTCCGATTCCAGCTTGTAGAGCTGCTCTTCGATGTCTTGCTCCCGCTCCTCCAGGCGGTCCTGCTGCTTCATCAGCATCTTCTGCAGAGATGGGAGAGAGGAGCAGTTGTTAGAGAGCAGTGGCCACACACACCAGGAAGCTATGGTGCTGCCTGCCCTGGCTCTGCCCGTGTCGTTCGGGAGGGACAGTGCTTCTTCACAGTGGGGTGCCACTGCTGAGCTGAAAGCCCAAGCATGCCTGGTGGAGGTGGAAATCTTGCCATATCAATGGCTGCACAGAGGGCCTGTATATGCTGGGCTGCCTTATCAGCTGAGGACCTTGATTTGGGTCCCCTGGATGGGGGCAGCCCCTTGGGTAACATTCTGCAACCTGGTCACTGGGGTTTGGTTCAGGGGGGACACAGGGAGAGCTCATCTGCCACTATGGCAGCACTGTTTTGAGGCCCATCACCCATCGCCAGCAGGCTCCTGCAAGACATGGCCACCCCCCTCACACCCCTGTATGCTGTGCCAAATCCTTTCTGTGTTCCCTGCCTCTGTGACAAGCCCCAGAGCCAGCATCAGCATAATCGGGAGGGACAGAGAGAGGAGGAACAGGGCCTGCCCCCACTCCTTGGGGCTGGGCCTGGGCCATCAGCCTAATAACTGGGACAAAATCTTGGTCCCCAGCTATCAGCATGAGCGCTTTGCTCCTGCATGCTTCCCCATCCACTAAACGTGAGAGAAGGGCTCCATCCCTGTGAGCAGGAGCAAAACATCCCTCAAAATCAACTCCAGATTCTCTCCCTCTGTGGTTATCCCAGGGAAGAGCCATGGCACCAGCGCGGTGAGAAGGGCTTCGCCCAGCACAGAGACACGGCGTTAGAGACTCAACGACAGGGGCGAGATGGGAAGAAACCGGCAGCAAGGATGAATTTCGAGGGGATTATTGCTATTATAAACTGTCGCTCGGGGATTTATAATCAAGTAATTAATTCCTGGATGAGGCGGGAGGGGGAGGGCGGCAGAGGCGCTGCCGGGATTAATTGCATTGCAGGGAAAGGCTGTCACCTCCGACTCAATTCGGGAGCAGGAATGCAAAGCCTCCTCCTTCCTATTGTTTTCCTTAAGGTCTCGGGCACCTCCAGCCTCACTGCCATGGGGCTCCTACCGTTGATAATAATGAGGAGCTAAAAAAACCCCAGTTTCCCACTCGCAGTCACACTCCACATGTGCGTGCACCCACTCATGCACATGGACACACAGACAGCACATTCGCTGAAGCAGGGTCCGAGGGGCAGCAACAGAGCCCCAGGCATGAGGGGACATTTGGTGGCACATTCATACAGAAAGACAAGGGCCTGCAAGCATCCAAGGGCATTGCTGTTGCTATGTTTAAGACCAGCTGAATAGGTGGGAGTGCCTACATGGAGAAAGGTTTGATGCACATAGTAAAAATCTCCCTTTTTCATCATTAAAGAGCCATTCTACAGTCAGCAGCAACCTGCTCCAGCAGCGGTGCAGGCAGGTGCACGTCAACACAACCTGCCCCCAGCACCACTGGTTGAAAACAGGGTTTGCAACATCCCCCTGGTGCAGAGCACAGCGCACCTGGCTCTGGATCTTGCTCCGGCATCCACAGGCTGGAATTTCCCCACCAAAATCACAGTGAACCGATGGGAAAGCCGCCTGCTCCAGGAAAGGAGATGCCTTTCCGCATCCCTGTGTGCAGGAGGCTGATGGAGCAGCTCTGGCAGCACAGGCCGAGTTTCTTGCTCCCCAAGCTGGAGAGCCAAAACACATTGCAAGCCTCGCACTGAGCCCTTCCTGCACCTCCCTCCCTGCCGGCAGAGACTTGCTGTCTCCATCATGAGCAGCCAGACTCACCCCGCACCAATCCACCAGAAGGATGGCTGAGTGTGGGGGGGCCCTGGGGAGCAGCCAGGTCTCCGGCCCGCATCCCCCAGATGCCAGCTGGGGCAGGGCTGGGCAAGAATGCGGGACAGGATCCAAGCATGCTGGCTTGCTGGGCACAGAGGCCAACCCCCCATCCCACTCTGGCATCAGGGGTCCGACACAGAGCCGCCTTGAGGCAGCCCCTGCTCTTTGCCCTGATGCTGCTGGGATGGTCTCATGGGGGAAAGCAGGGCTTCCCGTCAGTGGCAGATGCCAAGCGGACAGAGGCCACCCTGCCAGCCCATCCAGTGCAAGGGACAGACCAAACAGCCTGAGACACGCACGTATCATCATCCCCTTCCCACCGCCCTGCAGCTGCCGTGGCAGAGCTGCCAACCTTTGTGTTTTGTAACAAACCTCAGGGCGCTCAGCTCCCGGAATCGTACGATTACATGAAATCACAAAAATGTGCATAAATGTATCTATAAACAACTTTCTATACATATAAGTTAATTTAATAGCCCCTCACAGCTGGAAAAAGTGACCGAAATCTAACCTAAAGCCATAGAAATTGTACAGAATAGAGGACATGGAGCGTTTTCTTTAAATCTCACATTTGAGCTGCTCTCTTGATTTTAGGGCGATTTAAAACTCACGCATGCCTAGGACTGCAGCAGGATGGGAGGGATTTTGACCCACAGCAACCAAAACCTTAACAAGGCACATGGGTCTGAACTACCCCTTCTGGCACTGAGGGGCGAAATCTCATTGTCTCCGCGCACAGGCTAAATTCCTTAGGTATTTTGAAAAGGAAAATATATCCCTTGCCCTTCCATCCCCTCCCAAATCTGGTATTTCTGAAGTCATGAACTCCTCCTCCAGGATCAGAATTTCTCAGGGTAATTTCTCATATTTCATGCATGACCTTGATGTTGAGAGAAACGCAGCTCCCTCCATACAGGCACCCTTCCCGGGCTCTGAGCGACTCTGTGATCCCGGCTTGTCTTTACTGAGACATGCTGCTGGTCTGCAAAGCGGCTGCTAAAACCGCTCTGTATTCCAACAGCAGCTGAGAGGGAACTCATCTAATTCATCAGTAAGTTAATCTGCAGCCAGGGTAAGAGGCTGGCCCAGCCCCAGGGAGAGGGGCGAGCTGGACATCAGTTTATTCTGCTGGAGTTGCAAGTTATTCCCCCTTCTCATGGAAAAACATAAGGAGGAGGGGGGAAGGCTAAGCCCTAAGTAGGGCTCTCTGCAAACACACCATGGGCATCAACCCCGTGCAGGAGCGGAACCACTGAAGGTGGAAGGAGAAACAAGCAGAGGTTATCCTTTGCTTGCAGATGAGGAGCCCACTGCCAGCAAACAGGATGAATCCTGGGAAGCACTCACAGCAAGTCAGGAGGGTCTGGGGTGTTGAGGTCACATGCTGGCAGGGAAACTTTACTCAGAGGATCATTTCTATGGCAAGTAAAGCAAGGTCTCCTTCTATCCCCCAGGCAGGGGATGAGGGATGTCTGCAGGGGGACAGGGCTGCCCCAGCAGAACAGAACAGAACTTCTGCAAGATTGAATGCTTGCAGCCAGAAAGTTCAACAGCTGAAGACATACAGGGCATCTGGGCTCCTCATCCCACAGCCATCACCTCTCTGCAGCACCACAAGTGTCGGCTGTGTTACATACACCGGTGCAGCTCAGCTGCCCCACAAACCCCACTGCAAAGGGGGGCACTGGGGTGTGGGAAGGAGCTCACACCCTCCTGAGACCTCCCAGGCAGGGAGAAACCTGCAAGCAAGATGGCTCCATGGCTTTTTTTAGGCTGGTCTCACCACCATCCTCTCCCAAAGGACAGGGCTAAGTCTATGGTCACTGCTGCGCCCATGATAACAGCACATTACACCCTGCCCTGCCTGGAGCAAAGCACTCCTCTCATCCCCGCTTTGAAGCCCCCAGCAGCCCACGGCCCTGGGGCTGGCTCTGGGGCAAAATCCCCTGACGTGCCCCAGGGTTTTGCCTGCTCCGAGAATAGTCCTTCTGTGCCTCCCTGGGGAAAGCTGGCAGCAAAGAGCCTGCGGCACCCCTTCCCCAGAGGCTCGGGTGCTGGCCAGACCCTGCCTGACTCATCGGTTTCAGGAAGGAGCCTGGCAGCTGCACCAGAGTCAGAGAGGTGCCCCTCGACCTGCTGAGCAGCTCTGGTTTTAAATGAGAGCTGGAGCAGTGAAAAGCCTTTCTGTGTTCATGGGGTAAACGAAGCCCATACATCTCCTGTGATGTCTAATAAGCACTGTGCTTCCTACAGGGATGTAACCCCAGCAAAAGTAACCATGTCCCACACATCCACCTGTGGGACACTTGCAAGATGCTAATTCCCAACAAACTAGGCTGAAACCAGCCACAGGTTTGGAGGGTACTAAAGAGGGCAGGTGGACAAACGACAAGAGCACACAGCCCTTGTTCCTGTAGGAAACCAGGGGGAGCAGAGAGCCAGATCGCCCCACAGAGTGCCTTTAACCACAGCTGGCCTAGGGCAGGCATGCTGGCTTCTCTGCCTCCCTCCTTCGTTCTCCTCTTGCCCGGGCCTTCCCCTCGTCGCCAAATCCCAGCCACTGAGTGAATAAGGACATTGTTTGCAGGCACCGGAAAGCCAGAACGGAGGGAGCAGCTCAGAGCACAAGGGGGAGGAAGGGTGAGGAGGAGGAGGAAGGTGGAATGGGAGCGAGGAAGCCACAAAGGGCAGATGCCTGTTGCGGGAATGGCTCCAGACACCTGCAGCTCAGCCCAGGGACTGGGATCAAGGGCCCCCATTGAGACCCGTGTCCCGGCACGTTGCTGGAGACGGGCCCAAAGTCACAGCGACTGAATGTTAATGCAGCGAAAGCCCTGGACCAAGGAGGCAAGCGCAACCTTTCGCCTCCCCACACCTCACAGGCTTCCTGCTCCTGGCCCTGTTTTCTGATAAAAACCCACACAATGAGCTATTCTCACACCTCCTGAAAGCCTCCCCCACCAGATAATGCACCAGCACCTTGGCAGAACACGGCTCTGCGGCATCAACACCAGAGCCCCCAGAACCAGAACCTCAAACCATGAGATCCAGCACCACCACAGCCTGGGAGAACCAGTCCCCATAGCCCAACTCCCTGGAGCATCCCTTCTGCTGCCCCACAGTGTCCTGCCGACCAGACCCAGGCAGAATCACCTCTCAAG